TGTTTGTTTGTTGATGACTTAAATTAAAATGTGGGTAGAATTAATTTGCTAACGCGTGGAATAATTTATTTTCGCTTTAATTTATAGCACGTAAGTAGTTTTTGATTTTTCTAGTTTATTACCATGTGAAGATGTGAATCCTGGTTTGGATGAGGAGTATTAGGAACCCTTTCTTGCAAAAGCAGGAAGACGAAGAAGTTATTCAGAGAACGATGAGCCTCTTCGGAAAACCCCTACATTAGTTTTATCACTTGGCGTTCGTTTGTCATGCCGGACCAAACTGCCTACTTCTGTGATGTGTAACTATGAGGTTTAAAAGGTTATCGTCGTTTCTACGGTAAGGGGCCACAAACTACATTCTACGACATTGAAAATGTTAAATGATTCTGACTTCCAGTGTAATAGAAAGCATTAAAGGGAATTCCAATGTAATTCTAATTTATTCAGTTGTAAATACAGCATTTTAATGGAGTATTAATTTAAGCTCTATATAAAAAAGTATCTACAAACGAACATTTATAGATCTTAACCAGACTCGTTAAGTCTGGTTGTGTACGCTTGTTGCATCTGAATTGTAATAGAATTAACTAAAATGAACAGACATCTTTTATATCCGTAGTTTATTTCTCCTTTCAAAAGTTGAGCGTGATATTAATAATTGGTGCTAGTAACTTCGAAGAAGCACACTTCGAAATCCATTTGAATTTGCATAAAACAAAACAAGGAAAAATATCAACTGTCTATTTTTAATCACTTGGTGAAGTATTGGAAGGTGAAAACGTTATCAAAGGTGACATTTGGCTTTCAGCATTGCATTCTCGTGTACTCCGTTTACACCTTTGTCAATTTATTCAACCTATAGTTTATATTTTATGCCTTAGACAATATTGCAAGGAATAGAGAAATGCGTATTAGGTCTCAAACGAATTCGAAGACGTAGGAAATTCCAGCACATAATGGGGAGGGGCATCATGACTTCAAACATCCACTACTTGTTAGTTTTGTAAATCGGCCCTATTTCATGCTAATAGGGGAAATGTGTGAAAAGCCAAGAACTCTGTGTTCATAAATGTCCATCACGCAATCTTGGTCTTTCTCAATGTAAGTAAATATGAAGTATTAGTACTGTCTAAATATCAACTTGAAATAGAATTTGAGGGTTATCACTCAATCCTTTTGTGGAGATATTGGAAAACAAATTTATTTCTTTTAATTACCGTAGTTTTCTTACTTGGAGGAAAGAGGAAAATTCACCAACTGTTTGATTTGCTTAATTGTGAGATCACAACTGAAAAAATACATAAGCAAGTTTTTCTGAGACTGCTCCGAATTTCTTTGTGCAACTGTTACACAATAGATTCTGCGAATATATAAATCCATAATTAGTTATGGAATTTAAAAAAAAACTGCATTTAGAAACCACGCAGATTGTACACCTGCTTTGGGATGGGCCTCCATTTATTGTATAACGTGTACTTCCTTTTTCTCTCCCGTACTACATTGTTCGCTTTTTACCCCCCCCCCTCCTCCCTACACTCGCTTTTCACGGCATTCGCGCCCCCGCGGCATTCAACCGACGCGAATTTCAAGCCATTCGTCGCGTCTCCGCTAACGCTGCGTCCGCGAACACCTCTGTTCTCTTGGAGGTTTCCATTCCTCTTAACGGTTGGCACTGCCGTGAATCCAGGCTCGTCGCATCACCCGAGAGTACCGCGCATCTGGCGCCTCTCGCTGCTCGATACCGCCCCTCTCCCCTCTCCCTCTCCTCCCGCCCCCCCTGCCCTTCGCTCCGAGGGCGTCCGCCTACCTGTGTGCTCCGGGGCTCGCCTCGCTCCCAGCAATTAACGTGAGAGCCTCCCGAGCGCTACCCATGCGGCACTGACCTACGCTCGGCCGCCGCGCTGCCGCGGCACGCGCCGCTGCGTTCGCCCAAACGCGCCGATGGGCGCGGCACGGCGCGGCGCCCCGACTGGCGTGTCGTGGCATCGCGTTGCGCTGGGCGCGCAAAATAATCTATGTATTCATAAAAATATTTAAAAAGTAACTGCCCTATTCAGCGTACAGCTCCCTACTTTTTATTTCACGGAACCAATAGTTCTCTCTTCGTACAAGTATCACTGCATTTAAAATAACAGATACTGTCTATTTAAATTTACTTTTGTAATGTCTGGTACGTCAGTTCCCCCTCTTTCGTAGAAGGATTTCTGTTTTTAGAAGGTTCTTCCCGTCACTGTTGCATCAACCGTACTTTCACTTCACGCCGTGCGCCATGCCTCAGCACTGGACGACGTATATCCCCCCTCTCCCGGTCATGTTGCACCGTGGCACGTTTACTGCACCACACCCTGCACGTGGCTGCGCACACTGCTCGCAGCTGCGTCAGTCGGTCCCCCCGACCAGTACGAGACAACTGTAGAGTCTTAAGTTTGCCTGCGCGAGAGTAGGGTATCAACGCTCCTAACCCACGCATTGCTCGCATTGTTGGAGTCATTCGCTGCGGGAGTGGAGTATATAAGCCATGGCATGCACAATTCAATTCAACGATGCCTGATTTTACTTAGCGAGGCTGAGGCCCTCTGGCGTACTCTTGCGCTGGACCACGCAGATTTCGCTAAGCTCCTTTCCCCGCGTAACAGCGAAAGAAGAATCACCAGAGTGACGAAACGCGCGATTTGAAATTTGCTCAAAGGCTTCTTTTACGACTGAGGATCTTCTACGTGCAGAATATCCATCACATGGAACGGATGCTTGAATGGCGAAATTCGGCGCCGACCTACGTACGCTTGCGGGGATTTTCCCCAACTCCCACTAGCGCTAAGCTCCCGACCGCTTTCCCGACATGTGTGGTAATGTAGTGCGTGGTAGCGCCAATGTAACTAAGGGATGAGGATAGGATAAGGAATAGGAAGGAAAGATCACACTGTCCGTGGCCCGTTTTTAGGGCTACCTCCGGTATTCGCCTCGTTAATCGGAGAAACTACGGAAAACTACTGATCAGAGCTGTCGGCCGCTAGACTTCTCCTCCAGACAGCGACAGAACTCCACCTAGCAGTCTTGCTAGTATCGAAAATGCTGCCACCGTCGGATCCTTGAGCCCTAAAACCGCGCGGTCACAGGCGCTGTAGGATAGTTTCGGCGTTGAAGATGCTCAGGAAGGAGGGCGCGTTTCGTGCGCGTAGGGTTGCCTCTCGTGCAGAGCGCTGGTGCTGCCCTCCCCTGTGGGCACCTGCCGGGAGCCGCGGCGCGTCGCTGGGGC